TTCACAACCTTGGCCTTTGTTCTCTTCATAACCTTAATCTTCCCTGTATGGTTGCTTTAGTAACTCCTATTGTAAAGAAGTGTCACAAAGACTTTGAGAGAATTTATCTATGCTTCTGTCCTCCAATTTAAGAGTATATTTTCACTAAACTGAGAAAAACCTAATGGAGAATATCTGACAGGTAAAAATTGAGAAATATATTATTAGTTGTTATTAAATAATAAGAAGCATTGCCTTATACTTGTATAACATTTTACAGAATAAAATAAGTGTTTTTAATTTATTATGCTTACTAGAGGAACTATAAATTGAAGTCAGTGACATTTTTGGGGGTGAAATAAATTGGCAGAAGGTGTCAACAATATTAAAACCTTTCATATTGTCTGATTGAATAATTCTAAAGAGATCACATTATATGCAAAAACTGTAGCTCAGAAGACACAATTGGCAAAAATAAATATAAATAAACTCTTAATTGACTTCAGACTATTAAAAATGAAGGAAAAACTAAGTAAATAATTGAGATATTAGCAGCCATTAAAATTTTTGTTCGTGAAAAAAATTAATGGCATAGAAAAATACTCATGATATGTCAATTTCTATTGTGGAGAAATGTATCTGGAAAGAAATATAACAATATACTAAAAGAGATGGCTCATTGGTGTTCAGTTTCATCATGTTTTCTGTACTTGTCACATTTATTTTTCAATGCATATATGTTACATTATCAGAAATAAATTTAAAATAATTCCTTTCAAATACATTTTTCATTTAATATTATGTAGCACTTCATGAGTTAAGCAAGGCAGGGAGAATATTTTTCCACTTAATAGTTGAGAAGACTGAGTAATTTCCCAATTGGAGGAGCATGCAGTAAAACCCAGATCTTCCTAAGCCAGCTTCAATGCTTCTTTAATGATATCAAACTTCAAGGATGCAGAAAATATATATATGTGGACATTCTATGAGTTTTTCAAAATAAAGGTGCAATATTATAATCTGAGGTGTTATTAATAGTTATTTAATCTTTTTTATAAATTCCTAATTTCAACTGAGAGAATAATAAATGTAATAATAATAAATGAGATCAGACAAATGTTTAAAAAAAAAGAGGATACCAAAGTAAGTAAAATGCATCAGGTATAAAAATTCATGGTTATGACTAAGTTTGATTTATTATGATAGCAAGAATTAGAAGAAATTGTAAAATCTTTGTTTTGCTTTAGAAAGACATTGAACATGGTACTCCAAGTTAAAATGCAGAAAGTCATATTAAGAATATTAATAATAACTAAATGTAAATGCATGCCTCCATAAGGTGACTTATGAAAAAAAAGTTAAACAGAATTAATAAATATCATAGGTTATTAGTAAAGAAATCTACTTTAATCATTGAGAAATTAAAGAAATTAAAGTAGAAACTATTTATGGAGGGTTATCTACGTGGAGTAATTAAGAGACTAAAACAATAAGATTAAAACTGGACTCTTTTCCAGAAGCACACATCGCTGTAGCAATTGACATAGTTTAACTGCTGTGTAGCCACATATGCTGGCCTCTTTTTTGTCCAGCATACATATGGCCAGTCCCAGACAGTGAGCAACTTTAGAGCAGAGATCGCCTTATTCATCTTTATATGTGCAGAACCTAGTACAGTCTCAGTGTGTATTTGCATATAGAATCAAACTCATCTCAATAGCTTGAACCAAATTAACTCAAAAGTTATACATATTAGAAAAAAATGCATAATACACTCCAAAACTAATTAAATGATTTGGGAGATTATCTGCACTACCAGATAATTGATGCTAGATGCTATTCCATTGGGTTACATATATGCATACTCGTACAAGGCTAATTTGTTTAATTCTTTAAAACTCGACCATTAGTAGGCAGTAGCCTTTAAGTCAAAGGTCACAAATTAAAAAAAAAAAAAAAATAGCCCAGTAAATAAGGTCAATATGTGAAGCTGATTAGTTATAATTAGCATATTTCTCTCACCTTTGATTGGGACGCACATACAAAGAAATATTTCTCCAAGTGCAAGAATGATGACAGATAGCAACTGATCCTCAGTCTCAGAATCAAGGACACACACACAAAAAGGAGCTTCAGGGACTGTGCTAAACTTTCACAGCACTACTATATGAGCAGCTTCTACTCAAGTCCTCCTGATGGTGTCTAGTAGGAACACTGGACCACTGTAGCAAGATCTTCTTGTTCTCAAGAATAGCTAGAAATCCTGACTTTTATTTAAAATACATCATTTTTTAAATGCTGATTTTTTTTAAAAATGCAAACCACTACATAGGCCAAGGAAAACACACCTACGAAACAATTTGATACGTGAGCTCCTAGTTTATGACCTCTGATGTAACAATTTGATTACTCTATTATTGCACAAATAATTGAGATATTCCTGAAAAGTCATAAAATTTGACTACTAAAATGTCAAGGAGAGTTTACTGATTAAAGAAAACTAAATACTCAGGATTCTCTGTGCTATTATTCCATGCTCATAATTTCAAAATACCAAGCATTTCACAAACTTCATTTATTATCAATGTGAAAATGTCAAAGCCCAGAGGTCAACAACAGAATTACAAGTATAACCAATATAAACTTTACTTTAAATGTGGCATAACTAAGGTTAGGTCACAAGTTCAAATTGGTTCTCTATGTACGCAGATGCATGATTGTATTTCTAAATGATGACTAACTAGCCAATTACAGTCACTATAAAGTTCTGTCTTAACTGACATTTTAAATGAAGCATTCCACTAAAAAAACTAAATTTCAACCTCATTTTAATCACTTTAGCTATTCAGAATTCTGTTAATCAAGTAGAGAGAAAAATGTCTTCAACACCTACAATGATTTATCTGTTTGTACAAATGTGAGAAAAATGATCACATCTTCAAGTAATAGATTATAAGTACAAAGAAAGTTCATAGCTATGCTGATGAAAATTACCTGCAGGCTGTTACAACACAGCCTGTGAATTAATTAACCTTTTGCCATAAACATCTAAAAACTTCAGCAAAGACAGGTTTCTCTTTCTCTTGCTCCAGCTCCCTCGGCATTTTAGAACATGAAATATTGTGCAGTTACTGAGAGAAACAAATAAAACATACTTAAATTTTATCAGCTGTCTGTTACTACAATGAAACCACATAAATGGTATTTAAAATATAGCAAATTGGATGTTTGAGCTTATGTTTTAGTTAATGAAAGATGAGAGAGTGTCTGATTTCTATATAGATCTTTACTTTCATTAAAGAGATCAGTAAATTCTTACTATAAATGTTGGCTCCCTCTTGATTATCTATCTTTTGACTGTGAGAAAATAAAGTTAAATAATGTTTTTGCCAATGTTTTTAAAAAAATGAGTACAAACTAGTATTCTTTTAAATTTTATTTTCAAATAGATAAATAGATTATCTATATTTGAGTGTATTGTTTGAGTATTTCGATAGTTTTCACTTGGGATCTGAAGCAGAAAAATCAGCTAACGCTAAATGAAACCATAATGTGGAAAAATAGGGTTTCTAATAAATATTGGTAATATGATCCACTGTGTTTCCTCAAGCTGTTAAAGGCAAGGGTCAATAAGACTTGGTGAACATGAAGATTACATGAAGATTTAGGGACTACTAAATTACTCTTTAAATGCTGATAGAGCAACTTCAACATCTTTTTGCAATTGTTTCTTTGGAACCACATTTTATTTTTCTCTTTGATATAGTAAAATCTCCTTAAGAGGGTTAACAGCTCCAATATTTAATCATTCAATAACAAATGACTGGGGCTGTTATCTTCCATTAGTGAGTTCTTAGAGTTAGTTTTAATGAACTCATTTTATAAGTGATCTCGCCAATGAATAAGTCATTCCCTCATTAGGTTAGGAGACACTCTTATTTAGATAATGGGTTATATATATTGTTTTAGAATGTTAGAGTATTTCTCTATTATTTCAACTAAAGGATGATTTGCCAAATTAGTCTTTAAGGAACAAAACTAGTGAACTCGCTCCCGAAAATGTTATTCAGTAAATCAATTTTGGTTGCATAAAATGTTAAAGTAAGAAGGTGAACATTTTATGTTAACAAAGTAGGTAACACTTATATAGACAACTAAAGATGCATATGATATTTTTCATTTTGTATTAAGGGCAAACATTTTATGAATAAATATTTCAAATTAAGTAGCTATTTTCAATAATTTTGGAACAACAAATCCTTCATAACTGTTAATATATTAAAATTTTCCAAATGGATCTTTCTTTTGTATCTGCCAGAAAGATAGTTCTTTAAGATTGGTAAATTTAGAATATTTACCAGACCATTTTTGGTTATTTCAATTTTGAGAATACCTCTACTGTAAAACAGACACATTTAGGTGATAGATGATAGATGATAGATAGATAGATAGATGATAGATAGACACTTTATATATATAT